CTATCTATCTATCTATCTATCTATCTATCTATCTATCTATCTATCTATCTATCTATCTATCTATCTATCTATCTATCTATCTATCTATCTATCTATCTGATTTATAGTTCTCTCCCTTGCAGGCAGAGCTGTTGTTACATTGTTGTGCTCAGGGTAAGTGGTCTGATAGCCATGATATTTATAAATCAAGGATAGACACTGAATGCAGCACCACCGCTACTCTATGAGCTTGCTTCATGCTACAAAGGGTGCAAAGCTGATCGAAAACAATGTTGAAAACGTGGCTTTCAGTGCGTGAATGTCACTCAGCGTGGGGCAACATTGCAGGTCGACCCATGCTGTGTTGTTGAGCCAACTCTGTGTCCGACCACTGGTTAGTGAGCCTGACTGTATCTGTCTGCCTGCTCCCTAGGGTCGTCAAAGAAGAAATCTCTGATGACAACGCCAAGCTGCCATGCTTCAACGGGAGAGTAGTGTCCTGGGTAAGTGAGATGGATGGCTCATGTTGCCCCTGTTCACCTGGCTGTGTAGTCTCAGCTCTATGCAAAGATATGTGGAGCACCCATAGATCATGTACATATTAAAATGCAACGCCTCCACATAAGTTATCAAACACTCTTCACCTTAAGCTATTGTTCATCTGTGCTATAAAGGTGTGAGTGAATCCATTAGATATTAAACCAGGCCCTGGTAACAAAAGAGCTGGTTTAGGTTGACCATTAAAATGACCATTTACTGCAGGGGGGTCAAACATACACCCACCAAATCCATTCAGTGGTGCAGTCAAGCTGGGTGTCTTTGCAAAGTGTAAAAATTGCATAGAAGTTATTAATAATTATAGTTTTACAATGAAATCTCAGCATTGTGAATAGAGCTGATGATGCTACTGGAGTGGAAATTTGTTATTATTTTAGCTCATTTGTAGATCACAAGCTGTTTGAATGATAAAAGCGTTGTTTAGTTTAGCTTTGGTGCCTTTGTAGATGCATGGCGATCAATATGTTGTCATTCACATGTAATGATAGTAACAGTAACTAAATGTGAAAGAATATGAGACATATTGTTGGAATTGCTTTGGTTTTTCTGAAGTTATTCATCTCTTTTGTACATGGATGGTAATTTACAGTTACTTGTACTTCTTTATGAACTATATGAGTTTGATAGCCCTAATCTGCTGCAATCCTTTGGCCACATACACTGTGTATTTCTAGTGTTTTTAATTACTGAAGACAAACAGCACCGTGAACCCATGTCTACAGAGACAATAGGCTATGCCAAATTAAATCAGTCTATCTTTATTAGAGAAGGATTTACACCTTAATCAGTCATATATATATATAGGACAAAGAACGTCTGTCTCTAAATATTAATCCAAAAGTAGCAGCAAAGATTTATAAATTAGTTTGAAGGTCTGTAATTTAATTTGCTCAGTGTCTTTTTGTTTTTTTTAACAATGTCTTGTATAGATCGTACTTTATTGATCCCTATGGGGAAACTCATTATTTTTCTTTCCGCTTGGGGAGGTCAGAGGTCAGAGAGAGCCACATGGTGGTGTTTGTGTACTTGTTAGCGACTGTCTTGCTCAATAACACTTAATCGTTGTCGATACTCTCTCACAATAGCCTCCACTTGTGATTAAGTGTGGTCACAGTTAGTCAACTGTTATATAACAGTTAGTCCTAATATGTACATGTTTCCTCATGATTGCGCCACATTTTATTTCAGTCCAGCTCCCGTTTTCACAAATATGTGTTGCTATTCAAAGAGCTCTCAGCAGACTGATTTGATGATTTTACACTTTATTATGTTTCCTTTCTTTCTCGTTTATCATTTTAATGTTAAACTTTGCAGGTGAAGTGACCGATGTATTCGTTTTAGAAAGAAAATCACAATTTGTGGTGTCGCTGCACAGCATTTCCTCTGCAGTCATTATTTCTTCCTTGTTAAAAAATTCTTGTGATTAAAACACCTGCACACCGTAGGTTAGCCACACATGCTAACTGGACTTATTATTCTAATAGTTATTCAGACAATAAATCAATTAAAAATATATTAGATTCCACTAACTAGACTACATATACGGTGAGGTTGATGTAGACTTATTTTTCTTGCATGTTTAAACATTTCAAAAGGAAGGAAAATTTCTGTGCTATTAAACTTAGTATAAAATGAAAAGATAAACATTTGCTCGTGGGGCAATGTCAGATCAATCGTAATGCATTAATAATTAAGAATACTGCCTATCATGCTGGGGGAGCTGCAGAACCTAAGATGGAACATGGCTGAAATCATTTTACATATTCGAACAATTTTTAAAGCTACAGTTTTGGGACGTTATTATGTAAATTGCCGCTGAAGTTTGTGCTTTTGATTATTTTATTGGTGATTTTAATGGAATTTAAAGACATACCCAGGGAAGGTCCTTGCAAACCAGATTGGGCTAGAATGAAATACTCTGTAATTTATCTGATGTGCTTTTTGGAATATGTGCCGTATTTGGGTCGTCAGAGATTCTGGCTGTAATATGAAGATTAACCTGGTCCACATATTTATGTCAGTGCGATTAGCAAGTCCAGTGTTTCCAAAATTAGTTACGTTCATTAAGTTAATTTCAATCATATTTAATCTCTGTAATATTCTGGATATTTATAATTGAGCTGTTTGTATATTAGAGCTTTTTCTTATATTTTGTGACTTTGTAATATATTGTATTATTTAATTTAGTTAAATCTGTTACTGTTGTTCTTAAAGCAACTGTAACCACATCATTTCCTTTGGGATTATTCTGATTCTGATTAAGGCCTTAGATAAAATAATCCAGTGTGTACATTTTAAAGTATTTGGGAAAAAATATATCAGGAATTCTCTTCAAGGTCTACCATAAAAAACTCTCAAAGCCAGAAGGAAAATAATGTAATAAATGCATCCACCATATATGTCCTTTACTAGCATCTTTACACTGGCTGCCAGTCGGTTTTCAAATTGATTTTAAGATTTTATTATTTATTTTTAAGGCACTGCATGGGTTAGCGCCTTCGTACCTTTCTGATCTTTTAAAGTTATACACTCCTTCAAGCTCACTGAGGTCTGCGGACCAGAAGCTCCTAGCTGTCCTGAGGTCCAGATTAAAGCATAGCGGAGATCGGGCGTTTCCTGTGGCTGCTCCTAAACTCTGGAACAAACTGCCCGTTCACAGCAGGACCCCCCCAACATTAGACATTTAAAAACCCGTTTGAAAACCTGAAGTTTAAAACATTTTATTCTCTGGCTTCTCTTTTTTCTCATTTTATTTTTCCTTTGTTCAATTCTGTCAGCTTGTCCTATGTTTTTATGTCATTGATTTTTCTTTAGAATTACAGCATTTTGGTCACAAGCCGCTGTTTTAAATAGAAACAAATTTCTATAAAACTGGAGATCCAAGGACCAGAGAAAAATCTGCTCCTTCTTAGGATGTTTCGAGAAGAAAGCCAGCAAGTCAGTACACAGCAGGCACAGAAGGTGATGGAAATTGCAGTAACACTTATATTCTCTGTAATGGAGAAAAGAAAAGTATCCCACTCGTTATTTGAGAATCGAGTGGCACCATAGCGATGCCTGTGAACCCCCAGGCTTGCATTAGAATAATCACAGCCCACAGAGTTGTTGGGCTTTCCTCGCCTGTCTGCTTTAACTTTCATTATTCTGGCTCAGATGAAAGGATGGGTCATTGTACATCATCCTTTGTACCGACACTCAGCTGAGTAAAAGAACAGAAGTCTTTTAAGTTTCTAAGTAGCTTGCAGTGTTTCTCAAGTTGTATAAGCATAGCCAGAAGTCATCGGTAGGCCTTTTTGCCACATCTCAATTTCACAGCCTCCCCTGAGTGGACTCGCGCTTAAGAGACGTCTGTCTCTGAGTTTATCTTTGAGTTTGCGTGGTTACAGAGTTTCTTTCTTCTAGTTCTGTGTCCACACTATGCAGCCTATAGAATACAATAAAATATGCACGGTATAACGTGTGCTTGTCTTTGACCTGAATATGTCTAATCTGTAATGAATAATTTTGTTTCCTCCAACCTGTCTTTTTCAGTTGGTCCTGGCAGAGAGTGCACACTCTGATGGAGGATCTCAATGCACGGAGAGCCATCCAGAACTTCCCCCACCCCTCGAGAGAACAGGGGGCATCGGGGACTCACGGCCCCCGTCCTTCCAGTGAGTAGGATGATTGCCGCTCGTCATGTATGCACAATTACACACACTCGTGTAGGCAGATGTATTCAAGCACGCAGCCCTGCGTACCGGTTGACCTTTTCATTTCACAGCACGCTATATGTGCTAATCAGAACGTGGAACGTGCCACAGAGAGATTTATCGTCACAGGCTCACATGGGGAGTGTAGACGGTCGCTCCGCCGCTGTGTGAATATAGTATGTGCTAACACTACAGTGTGGGAATATGCATAGGCGTGAGTATTTTTCCCACTTGGGTATATATTCCCGCCCACACAGCCATGGAGTAAGGCGTTACTCCGCTCGTCTATGTAAACACGATGCGCATGCTGCTTGGGCGGCTGATTCTTGAAATAGCCTTGACAGCATAAACCTCTTCAGGCAAATACTGGCACTCAAGTGAGGCTCATTGTATTCAGTCACTAAGAGCATTCATCCATACTCTGAAAAAAAAAAGCACACGTGGCCTGAATCATATTATTGCTTAAGCACTCAAAAATTGAGATTTTCTCAACGTTATGGCTACCTGAGTCCAGACTTTGCCTTAAAACCAGCAGATTTAAAAAATATAACTGTAATCACTAAGGAGAAGTCCCTTCCTAAATATAGCCAAAAGGGCTGGGGGCAGTGGAGGCCAAGAGTCATTGCCATTACAGCACTAGAGCAATATAGCTGAGGCTCTATATTGAGAACATGCAATCTGTCATGTCTCAGTGTATCTCTTTATCTACTGTTTGACATCTCAGCTCTCTTTTGCCCTCTATGGGCTGCTCACTCCTGTTTGGCTGTCATCTGGCCTGATGATGTTATTGTTCCCAGCCAGCTTTGACTACCGCCACCTTGTGGAAAAAACAGCAAACTGTCTGCCGGCCCCTTTACCCGCCCCCTCCGTGCCTCGCTCTCTCTTTCTCTTTCGCTCTTTGAGTCAGACAGCCAGGCCTTTTTACAGCATGGTGAATTCCCTATCGCGAACCTCCCCTCTTTCTGAAATGAATCCAGCCTTCCCCCCTGTACCGCTGTCTGCAAATAGCTAGAATATTATTACCACATCATTTACTCTTTGTGCTTTATTCATGCATCTCGTGTTTGTCGGCGTGAATGGCTCTATTTGATGAGCACACACAGAATAGGTGTTTTGGTCTGAGAATGGACACACTGATGTGCTTCTGCTCGGTAATCCGGATTAGCAGACATTAAAAGCACCCATCTCCATTTCCCAATGGAAGGGGGGGGCTATTGGCAGCAGGGAGAGGGGGTGGTAGGTGTGGGGATTGAAAGGGGGTGGCATTTGTTCACAGCTGGAGCCTAGCGCCTCGGATAATCTCCCACCAGAATAGCAGATCCGTCGGCTGGCTGGTGAGCGCCCTTTGACAGGTTTTGACAGGGCTAACAGCAAGAGGCAGTGGCCACCGCATCGATCATCACATAGCTTTCTAATCAGTTCCACTAGAAATGCACCTGAAGTGTGCATCTTCACTGATTTTTGCATACATGCACTGACCTGTGCTGGTGAAGCCGGGCCCAGGTGCACCCATTAGTACTCTGTAGCACACGCATGTAAGCATGCTCAATTGAGCGCTTCATCCCGCTGAGTGAACACGGCAGACACGGCATCCTGTCTGCTCCTGAGATTTTCATTTGCGTTGGTCAGCCACACGTAGGCACTGAGGTGTGCGAGAACATTGTTTTCAAACGAGGAATGATGTTTGCTCACAGGTTTGGTTTTTTATGCCTCTTTTTTCTGTTTATACACTTTGATTTTGACTGTTTGTGCGCGTGCACTGACATTTACGCAGGTGTGATTATTTAGGTATTCAGGTGTCAGATACATGTTGCATACATGCCTAAGTGCGTGTGACTGACTGACAGGGTTGAGTAGAGTTCTCATCGGGTTCAGGTTTCCTAGGAGCCCGGTGGCAGTGTGAGTCCCTTAACCCTCGTGCCTGAGGCCACAGCGCCTCCAGCCCTCTGACAGAATAACAATCTGCCCGCCAGCTCTTCCAGAGCCCCCAGACTCCTTCCAGACCTCAAGTACACGCAGGCCGGCTTATTGCTCAGCCCACACCTGATCTACCACTTCTCACTTTTTATGCGATCTGTCATTCTCTTCTCTGTCTCTCTCCCAATCATGCTCCAGGCACCATCTGGGCTTTCAATAGGTCTCATTAATGCCAGTATTGTCCAGAATGGCTCCCTCTCAGGGTATCTGGTCATTAATGACACTTAGTGAAAAACACATCACATACCACCGAACAATGAAATTGCTATTTTGGCCAGAGGGACTGAATTTGAAACAGAGTCATGATATGAGTTGCATATTCCCCTAAGGTTGGATGGCAGGCATACAGATACTATAACAGACAGAAGTATACTATAGCTAGGGATTATGTTCGGGAGTGTTGGTCTCAGGCTGGCTAGAGAATTCATTTGAAACACTTTCTGCAAGGCAGACTGAGATACTCTGTGTTTTGTACATCATTATGAAGCTGACTGAAGTTTTCCGATGCGTGTATTGCAGTGCCAATGCAGTGAGCAGTCGTGACGGCCTGGACACAGAGACTGGTACAGAGTCTCTCCTAAGCCACCGCAGAGAGCGAGAGAGAGAGCGCGCACGGAGGAGAGCTCGAGAAACTGAGCGTGAGTATTATCAGCCAGGAACAGATGGATCCCAAAAACGCAATTATCTTGTCATTTCCAACTTATTACTTTTCAGTACCTCTCCATTTAACTCTCATACTCCGCACAAGTCAATCACCAAAAAATGTGGACGGGAAGTAGACATGTATGAAAAAAGGTCCCTGGGGCTCAAGTGGTACATGTTCAACTGCAGCTATGTTAAAGCAAAAAGTTCACTGTATGTCAGCGTTTTTGGAATAGTTGGCCAGTAGTTGTCTTTCTTTTCTGTTTCTTCTGTGGCTCTCAGGTCTGAATTATAACAGGAGTCTGTTGCAGTCACTGTTGAAATAAAAAATGCCTCCATTCCATCTGGAAAAGAAATTGATTGGATCTTGACTTTAAAAGCTCCTGAGAACTGTTATCAAGTGCAAATGCATTTGCTTTATTGTGCTGACATTTGACTACAGCAATTTCTATTACAAGCTCTTCGGTAGGAGAGGCGCAGCACTTTCCTGCTCCTTCGCAAGAACTCCTATTTGCAGGCTCAGTGTTTTCAGTAAGGGAGGCTGTCTGTGCTATCCACAACAGAGAACAGGAAGGTTTTGCAGTGGTTACCCACATAAGCACATTGGCGATCAGTAGAGGTACCTGCTTTCATCCGGTTTCTGTCCCACACAGGTATTTTTGACAAAATTAGTTGGTTTTTTGGCACCAAGTAATAAACAATCGCAGTCTGCCATTGTTTTCACTGACAGCAAAAATCACTATGCTCTTCTCTCTCGCTTTCTTTCTCTCGCTCCCCCCTTCCCCTTTGTCCTCTCTTCACAGCAAGCCTGGCTCTTTGCATCCTGCGCTCCAGGCTCATTAACTAAATACTCATTAATTTATGTGGTGCAATTAGCATCACTGATTACAGCATCAGGTTGGGGTTGTATGGAGGGCTGTAGATGGGGAACAGATTTATCTTAGCAGACTATCTGCACATGAGCATAGCCAGTGATTTCATCGTGATCACGCTGGTGCACTCCATGATGATGCTTTTGACTTGGCACAGACATATTGCTGCTGCCGCTGCTGCTAACAGCCAACTGAACATCTGTTGTTTTTTGCATGTGAGAAGGATCACAAACTCAATGAAATATACATTGTTATCCACCCCGTTGTCTGTGTTTACTGACTTCAATCCAATCTAGACGCACATATACTTTCCCGGAGAAACTCCGAGAGAAGCTGGTTCATAAATTTGTGTAACAAAGTCCAATTAAGTGTAATTCAGCTTTAATTTCACCGAGTGACACAGCGAGACGTAAAGACAGATACCTCCTCCCACCTCTGTGCCTCACTGCCTGCAGCATCAGCAGCAGCAGCAGCAGCAGGAATTCCCCTGTCACCTTATACACATGCGAGCGTTCCTCGCTGTTTTACAAAGATCGGTTAAAATGTTCAGACTTGTTCAAACTATTCTCTCTCTCTCGTCTTTCTCAGTTTTCTTTCCTGCGCTGTAGCATTCAAGGATGAATAATGGAGCAGTTAAAAAATTTAAGAGGGAGAACAGGTGCAAGAGTACCTCATGGAGTTATGGGATATGATCTGTTTTAAGGCTGCCAGGTGTTCTGTATCTTAACCAGTTGTATTAGAGGACGACTGTGGCCAACAAAGGGGGGGGGGAGCGTTCCCGTGGCATTAAATGTTATGCTGCACAGAGCCGTCAGGATTTCAAGGCTGAGGTCAGAGAAGACACAGTTAAGCCTGAGCACTTATGTTTGTATTAAAGTATTACACAAAGCCTGCAAAACAGCTGGTGAACATAAACTACTCTCTGTTATGAAAAAGTGTCTTCAGCTCATTTTCCTGTTCTTGTTGTATTAGGGCTGCAAAGCTTTTGTGATTTCAATCACTCGACAGTGTTTTCACCTGAGGAAGGGAGGGGAGAAGACAGCTTATCGTATAAAATCACATATTATTTTCTCTCTGCTTTGGAGGATACCATCGTCTGATTGGTCAGAGGCAGATTAACAGTCATTCAACAGTTGCGTGCATGAGAGTCAGGGAGGAGGTAATACTTTCTCCTCACTCTCAGCTCACTTTCTCTGTTCATTGGAAGAAGGCGTGCTGTCAGCTGCGGTGAGAGGGATTCGCTGTGTTATTTCCCGGGACGGTGTTGGGCTTTGGAATATTTTCTATTGTTTTTTGTGGTTAATTTAACGCTGGTGTTATTTTTCTGTTTTTCCAGAGTTATGGATAGTTGGTTAAAATAGGGAGGCTCTTGTTTTTTGAAGCAAGGTGACATTTTTATTTAATAGGTGTAAGCTTTTATAGGCTGGTTCTGTTTATGAACGATTCTCATCAAATGGCAGCTCGATTGATTATAGAATTATTTAGACTGCATGTTTCTCTCTTTAAAGATCAGAGGTCACACAAAACAGTCAATTGCTGGAAGTGTCACAGCTTTCGGAAAGGTCACGATAATGCCGTGTTCAAAGTTTCGCATATTCATTCAAAACGTGACTTTGCTGTTGAGTCATAGCACTCGCTTCTTGTTTTACTACACGTCACTCTTGATAGATTGTCGTTTTGTGTATTCCCTATTTCTGGCACTTCCTCTATTGTAGATAAGCTGTGAAGTGTGTCAACAGCCAGCTGGTGGGCATAGACTGACTGGGGCTCGGGCTTTTTAGAGAGCAGCTAGCACAGACGGAGCAGAGCACAAAGACGCAGATTTTTCAGGCTGGCTTGGTGAACCTGCACACTTGCTTTTTGTTTGTTTGTTTTTTTGTTTTCTCTGGCGCCAGTCAGCAGAGTGCGAGAGGAAATATGTTTGAGTGAGTCTTAACACTGGATGTCAGGTCCCTCTGCTGATTGGATGTTTATGTGCAGTAGCTCGTCTTTCAAATGAGCACCCTGTGGGCGGAGCTAGCGATGGGAACTACTACATTGCTGGAATGTTTTGCTTGCTCTCGGCGAGTACGTTGGCTACCACGCCCTCTTCGCCTTGTGAGACCTTTTCAGCCAATCCGCTGTTACCCCGAGACTGCGCCACCTCACTGCCAATGTACGTATGGAGACAGACCTGGTAGTTTTCCTCTGATGGGAGGGCGCTACTTTTTCTTGGTTTTCTGCAAAGTCTACAAATCCGTGTACTGTATTTAAAAAATGTGTTTATTTTTCATTTTTATTGCTACATTTTTTTTTTTAAATTCATGTCATTCCACCTGCAGGAGGGTCTAATTGAAGATATATTTCAGTTCAATGTCCACATCTTCCTGAGATCACAGTTTAATGCTTGTTGCAGATGATTTTTGTTTTGTATTCCAGCCACTCTCACTAACTCCTTCCTTCCTCGCCTTCTGGTTGCTCTCTTATTCTCACTTCACCCTGCAATGATGACCCCCCCTCTCCATCTGACTTACTGCTGCTGTGCACTTTTTCTCTACAGTCCCTCGCATCAATGGTCACTCCAAATCAGAGCGCACTGCAAGGGACTCGGCCATGGGTTACGACAGTGCCTCGGTAATGAGCAGTGAGCTGGAGTCCAGCTCATTTGTCGACAGTGAAGAAGATGAGGATGCTAGCAGGTAAGTTCTTCTCCAGTTTTGCCATTGAAACACTTAACTTGGTCGCTTTGTCTTCTTTCTGATGTGATTTGTTGTTTTTCTTTTCATAAAAGCTGCAAAAACAGTGAAGAATTTGCAACAATAAATCAGACTTAACCACTTAAACTACAATCAGATATAGAAGCGTGTGTTAGAAATTCATTTAAATAGAAATAGTAAGGCTAACAACTTATTATTTTGTTGAAACTGTATGTGTGTACATAGACCTTCACAGAGTTTTAAAGAAAATTCCCAATGAATATACTAAATAGCTTAAATTACTCACTCTGGCCTTATTCATATACCCTATTTAATATTCCATCTTTTCCTTGATTTCACTTTCTTCTTCAGACTCAGTAGTTCCACAGAACAGAGTTCGTCTTCACAGCTGATGCGCAGACACAAACGGCGCAGACGGAGGCACAAAGTGGCAAAGATCGACCGGGTATGCACCTCTTAAAACACATCAGTGCCCCTGCTGAATGTGACATTGACACTGAGTGCTTGAAACACATGAATAAATTGTTTGAAATGGGCTTTTTGCCACTTTTATTCACAATATGCTCACTGTAACCTCTTCTTCCTTTACCAGTCATCGTCTTTCAGCAGTATCACAGACTCCACGATGAGCCTAAACATTATCACCGTCACACTAAACATGGGTAAACCTGTTGCATCCATGCCTATTTTTTTTACGTCATAGAATTTAATGTCATAGAATTTAATGTAGAATTCATATCAGTACCAAAGCGAGTCTTTGTAACTGTATTCATCCCCTGCTTTAATCTCAACAGAAAAATACAACTTCCTTGGTATCAGTATTGTCGGTCAGAGTAATGACCGGGGGGACGGCGGTATTTACATCGGCTCTATCATGAAGGGAGGAGCTGTAGCTGCTGATGGCAGAATAGAACCTGGAGACATGCTACTACAGGTACGCTTCCATAACGAGATATTTGAACTGGTAATAATTGTGCCTCGAATTTGCTGTTGCAGTGACAACATCTCTCTGAGGTTTTGCTGCATGTTAATAATGACGGTTGTATTTAGTTCCCTTGTTAAACTCTTATGTAAAACTTGGAATCCTGCCTCTCTTTTCCTTCCCCATCCTTTGTTCTGTTTGCGATGGACGCTTCCAATTTGTTGTGGCCCCGATACAAACAGTATAGGTTGTTTTATGATTGTGGGGGTTTATTCCATCAAAAGGACCTTAGGATTTGCAGCCATGTGAACCCCTAAAAGAACAGCAGAGATTAATGCGTGCACAGTATAAATGCATAAACGCATCGAAGTTCTCTTCAGAACTTCAAAATAATATTTTAGTTAGTAAAACATGGTCGAGAAATGTAAAGAAATGACATTGTTGGTTTTGTCTGTCAATCAGGTGAATGACGTCAACTTTGAGAACATGAGCAATGATGACGCTGTGAGGATCCTGAGAGAGATTGTTTCCAAAACTGGGTAAGGACTCTTTCTTGGAAGATTATTGAAATCAGATGAAATTGAATTAATATCAGAACCAATGTGCTGGTGAGTCATGGGGCTGTATAGAAAATCAAAGGATCTAAATAAATAGGAAAAGCTAGTTGATAATGCTGCTTGACCGTTGGACACTGTTGCAACTTTTCCTGGAAGTTGACCTTTCGTCTTTCTTAGTCAGTGTCGACTGCTCATCAGTAGAATGAGTAGCTGACATTAAAGGATTTATAGGAAATGAAAGCCATCGACGGCTTTCACATTTGACAAGTTTGATTATGTTACGTAAAGTTATTCGCAGTAGAATGACAATGCGCAGTAGATTATTCAGCTTTGGTGTTTTTAAAAAAGGGAACAAGTACAGCATATTTCTGTGTATGATTTTTCTAAGAGTAACATTTATCTTCTATGTATATCCAGTCCCATTAGTCTTACTGTTGCCAAATGTTGGGACCCATCTCCCCGAAGCTACTTCACCATCCCTCGTGGTAAGACAGACAGTGTGGTGTAATATTTGGAGCAACGCAAATGATGACCTGATAATGTTTAAACCATACCGTGTTCACTTTGTCCTATTTATAAAAAGTTTCTCGTTTTGTTTTATTTTCTCAGCTGAGCCAGTGAGACCCATTGATCCTGCAGCCTGGATTTCACACACAACAGCCCTAACTGCACCTTACCCTCACTATGGTAAAGGTTACCTGCTGCTTTGTTCCAGTATAAAAGGTCACTTCTCAGTAACTGAACTATAAATAATGAGGTCACAATGATCAAAATTGTTTCTCTTTTTCCATCTCAGAGTTTGATGACTTGCCTCTGTCTGTAAGTAAAACAGATATGGCAACTATTGTCAAAGTGATGCAGTTGCCTGATTCTGGCCTAGAGATTCGAGACAGGATGTGGTTGAAGATCACCATTGCAAATGCTGTTATAGGTGAGAAAATCTACCCAATGCAGAAATTTGTATAGAAACAGTGGCTGTATTACTGTAAGCAGTGCTGGTTACTTGGAAATGTGCAGACATGCATTGCATGCATAGTGATCGAAACCTCTGTGCTGAGTGTGAGCAATAAAAATAACTCAGTAAGGCTTTTTTTTTTTCTTTAAAAAGGGGAAATAAAGAAATCAGTAGGTTTCCTAGAGAGCACAATATTAAATTACAAGACTGAAATCAATTCAAATGCATGGTATCAAAAAATATAATTTTTTAGGTAGTTTACTCTTTCTAAACACAACAAACAACATCATATAAGTATTTTTTTTTTCAAGTCATGTAGACTCGTTTGTTTGTTTTTTCTGAAAAGCATTAGCATCGTAGTTCTAGCATTAGCTCCACTAACTTCATTCAAAGGTTTTGCAGCATTGTGCTGCTTGCCCTAACTATTGCAGTTGTGGTCGATGTGTGGTTGCTGCATATAAGTGGTATTTTTAGCATCTGTTCCACGCATCAGGGAACTGAACTTCATGTCCACGTGTGCATTCTTTGCCATGCTAGGTGCTGATGTAGTGGACTGGCTGTACTCCAGAGTGGAAGGATTCAAGGATAGGCGCGATGCGAGGAAGTACGCGAGCAGTCTGTTGAAGCACGGTTACTTGAGACACACTGTCAATAAGATCACCTTCTCTGAACAGTGCTACTATACCTTTGGGGACCTCTGCCAAAGTACATCCACTTTTCACACCTACATTAATTAAGCAGCTCACACATTTATGGCATTTTCTTTTTAAATAGAAGGATTATACTAACTCTGTCCCTCTCTCCTGCTTTTTTTTTTCCTCTCTCCTCAAGACATGGCCTCACTCAATTTGAATGAAGGATCCAGTGGTGGAGGTTCTGAGCAGGACACTTTGGCACCACTACCTCCCACTAGCAACCCCTGGCCTCTGGGCGGGCAGCCATTCCCCTACCCTCCTTTCCCCACTGCACCCCCGAGCTTTCCGCCAGGATACTCAGACCCATGCCACAGTTTCCACAGTGGGAGCGCAGGCAGCCAACACAGTGAGGGTAAGCAATAAGGAGGGGCAAGACGAGTTTTCCATCAGCCTATCGTTGATTAATATAATATATTCGCTCAACATGCAACACGACATTAATGAAGTCTTTCTGGCATATTAACGAATGTCTGGCTCATGCTAATGTTAGCTTTACTGGCTCTCTGGGCAGGAAGTGGATATTGGATTGCATTATTCAATACAATATAAATATCTGTGTTCTAAAATGCGTCCTGTATTGTCAAGGTCAATCATGAGCATCTTGAGTCATGCAGCGGACAGCTCTGCAGTACTGGGTGTGTACACAAAACAGATCTGATCAACCATGTGATTATCAATCACCAGCTTGAAATGATCAACACTAAGTCCATGTGTCTCCATTAGTTCTTGAATGATCTTTTGTTTTGATTTTTGAATCAAAATGTGATGGTGCTGCATGGTTTTTGTTGTCTGCGCTGGGGCGGTACGTATAAGTAGCTGGCAGGGGTAATGTTGCTGTATATTTTTTACTACATAGCCCAGACAAAAGATGTGAAACTATATATTACCATCTCTCTGTCTTATTTTCATTGTTTTGAGTGGCTCATCCATATTTTAATTTCGCCCAGTTGCCATTCTTTCGGTTAGTTTTGGTTTCGTTTATCAGCAAATTTTGGGAAGACAAGTGACAAATAAATGTCATGGTTTTCTTTCTTTGGGAGCTTTCAGAAAAGAGCAAGCATTCATGGTAATGAGTGCATGTGTGAAATCTTGGGGACAGTTTCTGCATATTTGCATATAAAGGATCAGTAACAGCCACCGGCGTTACGTTGGTTTGGAGCTAACGGGGGAAAGTGCACTAGGACACGACAGGTAGTAGAGGAACGACTGGGCTGGGAGGTGTGTGTAATTCTGTTGTTCCCTCTGTTTCTGCTGGGCAACGGTAGACTGAAGGAGGAGGTAGTCCCCGGACACTGGGGGAACCGGTAAGCCTGCTAACCCCCTCTCCTCCTCTGCTGCTCTCTCTATTTTACCATTCAATCTTATTCTGCCACTCCTCTCTTTCTCTTGTGCTCAACGTTCTCCACGTCTCATACTGTAGCTTTAAGGTTTTTGTTGGGTTTTTGTTTTTTCTCTCTGCCCGTCCCATAATTTTTCTTTGGTCCATGTGTATCCTGTCTGTGACTCTCCTGACGTCCGATTCTCCCTCTCTGCGCCTCTAGGCATGCATTCGTACTGTGCTGGGAGGTGCATGATGCAGGATGAGCACTCTGAGGCTTGTGCTATCATTCTTGCTGATAGGGGGCAATCATGCACCACTTTACCCAGTGCTGTTGGGCTCATTGTGGAAGGGGAGGCGTGGAATGTTTGATTTTGCAACAGTGTGATACACCTCCATTAGTCTGATGCCAGCAGTGTTTATTAACAGCATTGAGAGTTGTGACACGTATTATTACTAAGAAATTGACAACACGACAAATACGTCATTCTGCGTTGTTCATCAAGTGCTGTGTGGTAATCTTTCTGATGCAGGTGTGTCATCTTTATATTTATGATCTTTGACCGTTTCAGTGTTTGTTTGAATATAAGAAAAAGCCTTAATATCAGTTGCTGCATCAGAATTTGGGGCAGAAATTACTGAGATAATCATGTTTGCCCTTGACTGACTTTTGCTAGACTGCATAACAAAAAATGTGGTCACACCTTAAACAAAGTGCAGTAATGTATTTATTAACATTGACACATTTTACTGTGTTTCAAACACAAGCACTTTTTCACGTTATGCTTAATTCTGGTGGAGTTCAAGAAGTCTTTATTAAGCTCATGTTTAATGTGTGACCTTTTTGTCTTTGTTTATCGGTAGCTGGTCGTGAATCATCAGTAGCTGATGACTTGCAGCTGCTCACTGTGTATTTGTGGGTGTTTATATTCTATTGAAGTCTTAACCTGTTAATCTCTGTTTCTTCTTCTTCTTCTTC